TCAGACCCCATTGGACCTCTGCATGGTGAGTCGCTTACAGTCGAACCAGATGAGAGACGTACGGTGGGTCAAAGAAGGTGTTTTAGCCCCACATCACGGCTGGGACACTGAGGCCTGAAGAGGGGAAGGGACTCGCCCAAAGTCTCCCTGGGCATTGGTGGCAGAGCTGGGCCTCAGTCTGCTACCCCATAGCCAGGAAACCAGTAAGTCACCTTTCCCCGATGCTGTCGGGAAGGATCGTGTGTTGCCCGTTTCCTGCCAGAAAGTGAAACAAACCGAAATGCGCAGCCCCAGCTTGAGAACTTTTACTGCCCACGGAGCCCCACAGCAGATGCTCCCAGCCTAGACGCCTCTCCTTCCCTCCTTCCTTCCTCCAATTCACGGGTATATCCTACAATACTTGGCACAATCTCCCGCGGGGAGCACCTTCACACACTGCCAAAATGCAGCCACCTCTGGGGCGTAACCAGCAGCTGGCTAGTCAGAACAGCTCACCGCAAAGCACTGTAGGCCGGGAAGTGAACCGCACTGCATCTAAGTGAAGCATCTCAGAAAACATTCAGGATTAGCCAAACATCTGCTGCACAACGCACCCTCCCACCGCCAGAACAGCACTGACTCACCTGTTACCCAATCACACACGGTCCCCCACATGCAGCCCCTTGGAAGTCCCCCCCAACCCGTCCCTGCTTGGCACAGAGCTCGGAGGGGACCACAGGCCAGAGGGCAGGCCTCTGCAGGGTACCTGCTCAGTAAATCTCCTTCTTCCCCACACCTACCTGCTTTTGCCTGCCTTTCAGCTCCTCATCTGCCAACAGAGCTTTGCTCCTGTTCAGGTCGGCGGACTCCACTTTGATCAGCCTGTGTTTTGGGGAGGCGTATTTCCCTTCCGCGGAGCCCCCAACAGCTGCCGGATTTGGGGAGCCAGACCCCCCAAGATCCGGCTCCAGTTTACTGTCACTGTCTTCATAGGGGTCCTCAAAATCCAGGCTTTTCTGCGCCCTGTACGCCTTTAAAATCTCACTCTCCGTGTAGTCGGGCTTGGGGGGCTGTGGCGGAGACCTCCTGCTCCCAAAACTCAAGTAATCTTTCAGCCATTTGGCCATCTGTTCCAGCCTGACGACACCTCCGCCTCCCTGGGCAGAACAAGTGGGATGGGAGGAATCCTCAAGCTGCCATCAGATAAACCTTAGTGGATCCCCTCGATTTATAATCCAAATTGGGCATCGTTTATCTTCCTTTCCGGAGACCCTGGGGAAACAAGAGGTCTCCAGTGTTTATGTCTCAGACTGATGTCTCATCCCAGAGCAAGCTGCTCCAGGAGTTGGAAATGAAATTTCCTCTCTCCCTTTAATAGAAGAGGCTTCCAGAGGTGCTTAGCGAAAAACAAAAAGCAGCCCACTCCTGCCTGGAGAGGCGATAGACCCTGTACAATCAAATACTTACATCAAGCCACATCTGGGGGGAGTTGGATCAAGGGAGGTTTTCACAATCTACAGCCAGTTCAGATGCAAAGGAAAAATGAAGGGGGAGGGTGTCTTTACAAAAATAATCTCCTCTGCACTAGGCTTCAAAAATCGACACTCGCGGCCAAAAACCTGTCCTCAGATGAAAGCGCCAGAGCGTCTTTCCAAGAGATCGGTGTTAATCCCTAAAACGGATTTGCGATTCGGAGCATTTACAAAGCATTAGCGCTTTGAAAGGCGAGAGAAAGGGAGAAAAGAAATTTACCAGTTCATTATGGAACGATCAGCTCTACGCAACAATACAGCATCCCGCGAAGACAATTTTCAATGGTCTGGAAAGAAACATCTTCCCAAAACGAAACAAAACCCACCACAACCCTAGACAATGAACGCCTCACCAGTCCAAACCCCAGCCAAGCACATGAATGTCCATTTTAAAACTGCCGTGACAAAGTTCACCTTAAATACATAAATATGCAACCAACGGTCCTCTTAATTCTTTGTCTATTCCCTTAGAATCCGTTAAGAGATCCAGACCACGGGATCGCATCCCGGCTACGTTGTCTTGTCAGATCCGAAGCTGTGTGTGTATTTATTTCCCATCGCCACCAGAAACTTCCCTGTTGCTGAAGTGTCAGATCCATACACGCAGTTCCTGGGAAAACAAGGCAGTCTGGCACACAGCCACCATTCAGTTTTTATTTCGGGTGGGGGGAGAGACAGTGGATTTCTTCCAAGCCCACATCAAGAGGGATTTTACCCCCCAAAAATCTGACCTTCCTTTTGAGAGACATTCACAAAAGCCCGAGTGGAAAACTTTAGCAAAAGTCTGGCTCAGAAGAGTCCAGTTCCCGTTTTCTTCTCCTAGTCTGGCTCAGAAGAGTCCAGTTCCCGATTTCTTCTCCTTTGTTCGATTTTGAGAGGGGTGTACTGGTTTTCCTTTGAGCGCTCGCCTCTCTTGCCGGAGCCAAGAACTGGTCTGCAGACACAACCTTCCCCAGCCCAAACAACAGCAAGAGTGAGCTCCAAACACCAGTAGCGTTTTGCAAGGCGCCTGCACAAAGAAAAGGGGGCGGGAAGAGACTTTTGCATCCGTCAATTCTTTCCTCTTTCCCCGAGCGCTACTTTTGGGAGGCTGGCAGGACGCCGGTCACAGTTTTGATGTGGCTGTGAGGGATGATGTGGGGGAAAGGCGGGAGATTAAAAAAAAATCGGTGTAAAGTCCTTGTCGCTGGAAGATCTGGAAACCTCTTCTCAATCGCTGCTTCTGATACGTCAAAGGGGTTTTTCCGCCCCCCTCCTCCTCCTGGCCCTAAGCTTTTCGCATGCACAGCTCTCTCTAGTTTGCAAAGGTTACAGGGACCTTCAGGAAGAAGCAAAGCAGCAGCTGGAAAGGGGCAGATGCCCCCCCCCCCCCAGCCAGGCTGCCAAAGAAGTGTCACCCCCCCTTGCAACGTGCATAAGGAGGGAAAACACTCCCCCACCCCCCACCCCCAGCCTCTGGAGCGTCGCGTAGTGAACCAACCCCCCAAGACAGAGCCGAGTGAAACTGACCAGGGCAGGATCAAAGCCACTGAGCGGGCAAAATAAAGTTGCAGGGGGGCACGGAAGGGCGGGGTGACTTCGCTTCCTTTTTCAGCCTCCTTTCCCGGCTGCCCCCTGGCGCCCGGCCCCTGCCTGAGGGGGTGAAATTGCCAGCGGGCTCCCCTCGCTGGAAAGTGGCTGTAAATAAAGGACCGAGAGATCGGGGACGTGGAGGGAGGGGGGAATTAAAGGCGAGGGCAGCCGGGGAGCGGAGAGAGAAATTGAGCCGATAGGAACGAAGGAAAAACAAAACCCAAGGACGCGATGGACGGATGAGATCGAGCAGTTACAGTAGCGGCGGGTTGCTCCCCGGGGAGCAGAGAGGGGACCAGCATCTGCTGCTCTGTTACTAGGCTTGGATTGGGTGGGGGGATGGGGCGAGCACATCTGTGGGCGAGGCAGGGGGCCCAGCTGGCAGCAGTGAGGAGGGGGAGGGCTCAACTTACCTCTGCCAGTGACCTACTGCCTGTCCTTGGGCAAGTCTCCCCTTCTGCTGGCTAGTTAGACTGGGGGAGCGGGTCCTCTTGGGCAGGTCTCTGGACAGCACAGCCCCTAGCACAGGGAGGCCATGAGCCCAGCACAGGCAGGTGTGCAGTGGAAGGAGGATCACCCACTTTAAGCTAGCGAGCCAGGCTACACATGGTACAGAAGAGAAGAGTGAGGGGGGTTTGATAGCAGCCTTCAACTTCCTGAGAGGAGGTTCCCAAGAGGATGGAGAGAGGCTGTTCTCAGTGGGGACAGCTGGCAGAACAAGGAGCAACGGTCTCAAGTTACAGCGGGAGAGGTCTAGGTTGGATATGAGGAAAAACTATTTCCCTAGGAGGGTGGTGAAGCACTGGGATGGGTTACCTAGGGAGGGGGTGGAACCTCCATCCCTCCAGGTTTTTAAGTCTCGGCTTGACAAAGCCCAGGCCGGGTTGATTTAGTTGGGATTGGTCCTGCCTTGGGCAGGGGGCTGGCCTCGTTGACCTCCTGAGGTCTCTTCCAGCTCTAGGATTCTATACCTGTGGCAGCCCAGGCTAGTGCTGGAAAACCATTACATGCTCTGCGGCTCGCCTAGGGCTGAACAGCTGGCGCCGAAGTCCATGTCACCCTGTCTTCACTGCTCTTTTCAGCCATGCCAGTTAGACCAAAGCCAAGGTGGATTTGCCTGCCCAAGCTCAATGCCTTTCCCCACTTGCAGTTCTGCGTCAGTGTAGAGATACCCCCAGCGGGGGCTTCCTGGCGCTATTGTGATAAAACCACTGACTGCCACGTCCCTTTAAAAATAGCTCAGTGCCATCCCGGGGGCATGTGCGTGCTTGTGTGTTACAAGCCCTGGGAATCTGGGGTTACAGTGTGGTGTGTGGAAGAGCTATCACTTGGAGAGCTATCACTTTAAACGTCCAGGGGTGTCCTGCTGCTGCTGGAGAGGGAAGGGGGGGCTTTGTAGGGCAGCGTGGGCACAGCAGTTTGCAGCCCAGAGTCACAAGGTGGGGCACGCCGAGGCCCTTGGAGCAGCCTGCTTCGTCCCGCTCTGCTTTTATCGTTCCCGAGTCCACAAAACAAAGCAGAGTGACGTTGCAACCTTCCCGCCAGCTCCGTGACGTTTTCACCTCACTTCTCCGCCCATAGGGTGGGAGCCACGAAAACCGGGCAGAGAAACCAAGCTCTTACTTGGAGCTGGCTGGAAAATGCTGAAGAAAGCTGGACGAGTGGAGCGTTGAAACTTCACCTCTGTAGCTCTGCTCCTGGTTAAGACTCAGTCCTGCCACTTCTTTCTGCAGGACTGATGCCAGCGGGTTTCAAAGGGTTTCTGTCAGATCCACCCGCAGGACTGGGGGGGGCCTCGCCTGGGGTCCTTTGAGGTTTAGTGGACAAGCGCACAGGGGGCACTCAATGTGCTGCATGGCAGCCTGCCATGACTCCTGCAACCACAGTCCTGAAGGCTGCTCTGTATGGAAAGCAGAGTCCATCTACCTAGACCAGGAACAGGACCCTACTGCTGGATCCTCAAGGATATTTAGGTGCCTAACTCCCAGTGGTTGCTAGTGCTCTGTTGCTGCTTTCTTTATGTACTGGCAGACTTGCCCAGCATTGCCCGGGTCCTTCAGGGCAGGGAATTGGTGGGGTGGGGGATGCAGGAGTCAGGGCAGGAGCTTGGGGATGTGGGGGGCTCAGGGCAGGAGGCTGGGAATATAGGGGGTGCAGGAGTCAGGACTCAGGGTGAGGAGGGGGCTCAAGGCTGGGAGAGTTCACCGGCTTCTCCCTGGGGCCTGCTCAGAGCAGTGGGGGGCTGCACCCCCCCACCCCCCAGTTTGTCTCCGGGGCCAGGGAGGCACATACACCCTGCCCTCTGGCTTCTCCCCAGGGTGAAGGTGAGGGTGGCCACACACCCTGCCTGTGGCTTCTCCTCAGGGTTGGCTTGGGGCAGGGAATCTGCACTCCCTGCCCACTGGCTTCTCTTTGAGGTTGGCCTAAGACAGGAGGGGGGCTGGCCCAGGGCAGGAAGGGCCATGCACTTGCCAGCAGGCTTCTCCCCAGTGCTGGCCCGGGGTGAGGGGGCAGGGGGTGGGGGCAATGTAGCCAGGCTCCAGCAGCACTCCCCAGGCCCAGCCCAGAGGATGGAGGAGAGGGGCCATGCAGACTGACTCAGGGAGGGTGAGGGGGCTGCGCTGAGAGGCCCCAGTAGTGCTGGGGGGGGGGGGCAGGCTGGGGCTTCTCTGGATGGTAGCCAGGGCTGCACTGCCTAGCCCCAGTGGAGCACCTGGGGAGCCATGGCAGCAGAGCCAGCAGGACTCCCTTGCATCCAGCGCTGTGCCGAGGGCTGGGGAGGGGGCGGGTAGAACAGGTTTGGGACAGGAAAGCCATTTACCTGGGCTGGTGGCCAGCAATAAGGCAAGCCCTGGTCCCAGATGGCCACTTTCCTCCTTGTGCAGCAGCCCCCCTGTGGTCACTCTGCAGTATAGCTGTCCCTCCAATCAGCCCCTTCCCAGTCCATGGTATGGAAATCATTCCAGGCACCTCCTGTTTTCCTGGCACAACCAAACCCCAATCTTGCTTTAAGTTAGGATTAGAGGAAGCAGCATACCGAATTTGGTGGTCCTAGCTCTTATTATTTAGGAGGAGTTCTTGAAAAACAGACGCACAGATGTACGGTTGGACTCACAGATAGATGCATAAATTCTCTAACATAGACAGAGTGTATGGGGATGGATGGATAGGTGGATACATGGGGTGTATGGAGATAGATAGATAATCTAACTCTATACATTCAGGACTGGCCCACTGGTTTTCCTGAAGGATTCTATGGACAACTGGAAAACTAGTAGGATTCTTCCACCTCATAGCAACTATGGAAATGAAACATGATCCACTGAGGGAAGGTTTTTTTTAACCAGACTGTTCAAAGAGCTGGGTTTGCTTGTTTTCGTTAACACCTATTTAATTCAAAGGCCTGACAAACACTCAGGAGAAATGTTGCCTTTAAAGATTCTTCCCCACTTCTCTTGTCCTCTAAGGCAATATCCAGCAAAAACAGGAAAGACCAGAAAAAAATCTTTCTGATTTTTCTAAGGTTAAAAACCCCTCATTTACTTTTTTTTTTGTTCTGAGAGAAAAAAAAAGAAACCTTTCAAATCTTCTTCAGCTATCATCAAACAGCCCAAAAGGGCCCCATCTCATTGTTTTTCCTTTAAGGCAGAGATTATGGCCTTTCAACCAGGGCCCTGAACTCTCTGCTGCTTCCCTTTGAAGGTTCTGCCTTTGGTACATTGTAGTCCTGACCTCAATGTAGCTTTTTGTACTTAGTATTCATAAAAACCGTGCTGTTCTTTGCCACCTCCTGGGACACTAATCTATTCCTCTGTTTCAGAACAAAGAACTCCCCCCCCTTCTCCCCAATCAGCCATTGAGAAGTAGCCTAAATGTGTTTCTAAAGGGAATAAGCGCATGAGCCAGCTAATTGTCCTGGTTAATGTGCTCAGCTGAAAAAAATTTCTGACTAGCAGAACAGTTGTTGACAGATCTCATCAAATATAAATACCAGAGCCCTATATAAATATCCAGTATCTGAAGTATTAATGTTTGAAGAGGCTGCTAATTATAATTCATGTGCCAGGAATGTTAATTGTTCTAGTAACAGAAGAATCTAGAGGAAAAAATGTGATTTAGCCTTTTATCTTTGTTCCTTTAAATGCAGGGGGTTAACACTTCTTCTGTCTCATTCCCCCAAGTGAGTGCACGCAACCAAAATAATCTGGGTTCTTTTAAACGCATGCTGAAATAGGTC